ACATATATATAATATATATATTATAAGCTAAAAAAGTAGGAATATATAATACAGCGGAGTCCCTAGAATTCCTAGGAAAGATAATACCTCATAACCAAGAATTTCTCAGGTGAAAAAGGAAAGGAGAATCTTCTTAGAAACATATTTGCTTAAACATGTTTATTTAACATGGCATGTCAAGGGAAGTATGAATACTTTCACAGTGCTTAAATATAAATTCTTATAAGCTAAAAAAGTAGGAATATATAATACAGCGGAGTCCCTAGAATTCCTAGGAAAGATAATACCTCATAACCAAGAATTTCTCAGGTGAAAAAGGAAAGGAGAATCTTCTTAGAAACATATTTGCTTAAACATGTTTATTTAACATGGCATGTCAAGGGAAGTATGAATACTTTCACAGTGCTTAAATATAAATTCTGATTTTGGAAGTAATGGGAAATTAAGCAAGAGAGGCACCAAGTTTTTTTTAAGAAGTTTTTGCTATAGGGTGCATGTGCTCGCCAGAATAGACAGAGGATAGAAATCGAGAAATCACCCCCCAGGGGGGATGGCCAAGCCACAGTCCCTTCTTCTCCATTCTGCTCTCACAAAAAACACACACACACACACACACACACACACACACACACACGCCCGGGGTGAGTTTAAGCCACCGAGTCCGGGACTCAAACCACGGTCGGCTACATGGGAGTTCAGCGACATAGCCATTACGCTAACTACTGGTCTCAAGAGGCACCAAGTTTTAAAAGACTTTTAATTTTAGAAATGATAGGGTATCACTTAAAGAAATTAAAGAGGATCTTCCTTGAGTTCAGAACAGTTGACCAGGGTAACAGCATGGACTAAACCGAGGCAATGCAAAGAGAATGAGAAGACAGATTAGAAGATGCTTAACAGGCCAGCCAGTGGTATGGTGTTTAAGGCAGCTGGAATTCACATGGCTAATTGTGCAGTTCCAGTCCCAGACTTGGCAACTTGAAAACACACCAGGGACATGTACATGAATTCCCCAAATTCCAAAAGGAGAAATGGAGGAATTGCTGCCTGACCATCCCTCATGGGGGCCGGGGGTACTTTCTTTCTCTTTCTTTCTCTCTCTCTCTCTTTCTATGTGTCTGTGTCTCTCCAGTAAGCACATGTGTCCTCTAGCAAATTAAAACAATTTAAGCTGTAAAGCTATAGAACTTTGGAGTGAGATTTCTGATTTTAAGAATTGATACTTGGGGACCAGCAGGTGGAGTTGTGGCTAAGGTGCTGGACACTCCCACATGGTTGACCACAGTTCGAGTCCAGGACCTGGGGGCTTATTTTTTCACTTTCTCTCTCTCTCTCTCTTTCTCCGTCTCTTTATCTCTCTGCTCAAATTAAAATGAATGACTAATTCTTTTTTAAAAAACCGATACTCTTTTTTTTTTTTTTTGGAGAGGTTTTTACTATAGGGTGTGTGCGCTCGCCAGAAAGACAAAGAGAGAGAAAAAGCGAGAAATCATACCCCAGAGGTGATGGTCACGCCGCAGTCCTTTCTCCTCCATTCTCTTCTCGGGATCTTGGGCACGCACACACACATGCCTGGCGTGAGTTTTAAGCCACTGGGCCCGGGCCTCGAACCGCAGTTAGCTATGTGGGAGTCCAGTGACATAGCCATTACGGTGGTCCCAAGAACTGATACTCTTTTAATGAGAGAAGAAAAATGAGAAAAATTAGCCATAGAGCTATTAGAAAATGACAGATGCCAATGACAAATGCTGTCTTGCTGAGTTCAAGTTCCTATGGAACACTGGGATGGAAACATTCAAAAGCTATCTGTTTATATGTGTCTAGAGCTCAGGAGAAAGGCATGAGCTATAACCTGATATTTGAAAGCTGGAAACATAAAGATGGTAATGGTTAAAAACTGTAGAAATGGGGGCCAGCAGGTGGCACAGTGGTTAAGGCACTGGCCTCCCACATGGCCAACCATGGTTTGAGGCCTGGACTTGGCCACTTGCTTTCATACTTTTTCTGTCTGTCTGTGTCTGGTAGAGCATGCTCTGTAGCAAATTAAATAATAATAGTTATTAATTCTTTAATTAAAAAATAACCATAAAAAATAGATCAGCCCTGTAGCACAACAGTTAAGCTCTATGCATTGGGAACCATATCTTGCATGGGTGACTGAAGTTCAAATCCCAGCCCCAGCCGCTTGCAAAACACCTTAAAATTTTGGGCTGGTATGCATGTGTGCCCAGCCCAAAATTTCAACAGGATCGAGAAGTGGAAGAAGGGGATTGTGACATGACCACACCACACTGGATAGGTGCTTTCTTTATGACCCTCTTTCTTTCTGGTGGGCACATGCACCCTCTGGCAATAAAAAGAAAAAATACATGGACGAAGAAGTGACACAGAAGTTAAGGAGGCGGGATCCCACAGGATGGACATTGCAGTTCAGACCTAGCAGCTTGAAAATCATGCCTGGTGCGTGTGTGTGTGTGTGTGTGTGTGTGTGTGTGTGTGTGTCCAAAATCTTAAGAGGAGTATGGAGGAGAAGCAATTACAGCATGCCTATCACCCCAGGTACTGATTTCTCACTTTACCCCCCCCCCCGTTTCTTAGTATTGTTTTTACTAAAAATAAAAGTTACAATATTTCATGTTCATTTTCTCCAATGTTGGTAACTCAGAAGTAATTTTTTTTCCCGCAGTTTATTAAAGAGCAAGTGTGCTCACCAGAGATAGAGAGTAAGAAAGCACCTCCCAGAGGGGATGGCCATGCCACAATCCCTTCTTCTCCATTGTGTTAGGATTTTAGGCACAGACACACGTGCGTGGTGTGTTATTCAGGCTGCTGCTTCTAGGACTTGAACTGCACAGTCAGCCATGTAGGATCCAGCCCCCTTCACCACCACATGACTATTGTTAAAGGAAATTACTCTTCATTCATGCATATAGTCAGTATTTGTTGGATATTTGTTATGTGTCATTTTTGTTCTAGACAGTGGGGGAAATCGAATTAACTAAGAAAAAGTCTCTGCTCTAGTGAAACTAACATTCATTGGGTTGTCAGGAAAGTTATGACACATTTTTTTTTATAGAAAAACATGAATATACATCATGACTTTTTCGATGACCTGATAGTAGGGGAAGACAAAAGAATGAACAAATTATAAAGATGATAAAAAGAAAGAATAGTGATCGTAGAATAATGTGACTAGATGGCTACTTAAAGATAGGTCTCCTCTAGGGTGGTATCTAAGCCTAGATATGAATGACAAGGAGGTCGGTACTGGCAATCAGGGGAAAGAGCAACTGGTCCAGACAGAAAAATCAGGTATGTGTTTTTAAGGTCCTAAAAAAAGTCCATTGTGGCCTGAATGTGTAGAACTAGAGAAAGTAACTGGCTGCGAGGACAGAAGAGAATCTTATTTCACTTTGAAATCTAGCAGAAAGTATTTGGATTTCACTGTTAGAAATTAGAGGGTTATTAAATTAAGAACCGTTATTGGGGCTGCATAATAAATGTGGGGGTGAGAAGACTAGGCAAAAAAAAACCCCAAAACTGATTTCTGGCTAACCAACATTTGAAATCCAAGGCTTTAAAATAAACTCCATGCAAGTAAATGTTTATCTCTTCCCTAGAAAGCCTTTGGTGTAGTACCAGGTACCTGTCAGATTCTTTCAAGCATTTACTGATGTTTGGAAAGCAGGGTCAAAGGGATCTTGATTCTTTAAGGCCAATTATATATCTGTCTTCTAAACAGAGATTTACTGGAAACTATTTTTGTGATTTTCTTCCTTTAGGAAACAGGTTTCAGCCACTAAGGCCGAAGCAGAAAAGGATGGAGTCAAGGTCCCCACAACCCTGGCGGAATACTGCATCAAAACTAAAGTGCCTTCCAATGACAACAGCTCAGATTTGCTTTATGACGACTTGTACGACGACGACATTGATGATGAAGATGAGGAGGAAGAAGATGCCGACTGTTATGATGATGATGATTCTGGGAATGAAGAGTCGTGACGTGCTCCTTCAGTGCCCCTGTACTGCCCTGCCGTCTCAGGCCAAAGGGAGGGGAGCAAGTGGGGACCTAGCAGTGGCCCCTCAGCAAAAACCTATTCACGGGGTGGGGAAAACACACACAGCTCCTGCTGACTCCCCTTATGGATCTCAGTTTGCTCCTTTTTATGGACCTTTAATGGAGAGAAAGTAACCCTCCACAGAATGTCTGAATTCTTGCATTCTTTACCCTTCCATCACTGTATTGATTCTTTTAAAAAAAAAAAACAAAAACAAAACCAACAACAGCAACCACCCAAACTCCCGCCTCACATCGTCTCTGCAGAATGTTCACAGCAGAACACGTTTGGTCTGTTTTTAGATTCTTGAAGAATTAAATAGTCTTTCAAGATGTTCAATGTGTTTAAAGCTGGGAACCCGTTGGGAGTTCACAAGTGCTGCATATACTGGGTAGCAAAAGAAAATGGAGGAAAAAAAAAAAAAACCACAAAACAAACTAAAAAAAAAAAAAAAAAAAGATTTGCCAAGGTTTAGCTGCTCATTTACGTTAGTGTGTGCGCATTTGTTCAGCCCCATGGTGGTGAATTTTGTTTCTTTTCCTTCCTAAGGCTGGGATACAGTGGGCATCAGGGACTTTGTGCTAAGCCTGATGAAATGTGCTCCCTCAGCCTCCATGAAATCATCCTAGCACGGAGGCCTCAGCTCTTCTGAGGAGAGAAGTCAGATTTTGGTTTTTTTTGTTTTTTGTTTTTTTTTTGAAATCGATTGGGATCTAAAGCCTGAAATAAACATTCATACTTTACATAGAACTGAGCACTTGGTTGCTATTTATTTTAAAAGGCAGGGTTGTCATTTTTCCCCCAGGGAGTGGGAGGAGTGGGGAGGAGTGGGGATTTAGTGCGTGTGAATTTTTAGTTATGGGAACAAAGAGTTAAAAATTACTTTGCCAATTTTGGTTGCTGCTGGGGGAAAAAAGTCAAAACTACTGGTGACCACTGTTGGAAGAGGAAACATCTGTTTTATATACTTAACATGGCCTTCCCCTCAAAGACGTATTCTCATCATGAGGCTTTTTTTTTTTTTTTTTTAAGTAGCCACTTTTACATACTCAGTATTAATCCTAGGTGCATGTGTTAAGGTTTTGGTTTTCATTTGGTTTTTATTGAGCTGAGCTGCTTATATTGATAGTGATAAATGTGGATGTGTGTGAGACATGAGTGACCGGTTCCTGTTTTCTTCACTGGATATGATCTAGTCTTTTTTTCCTCCTTTCAATGTACTTTGGCCATGGAGTATATATATATATTTCTATAAATTGTGCATGGAGTTCCCTCCCCCTGGGCTTGTCTCTTCTGGCAAGGCCAGAGGAGCTGACTGCACGCAGTTTCAGGCCAGGCAAGGCTAGATCTTCCTGTGTGCAACTGCTGCCACTTTTGATTTCCCATGTCTCAATCATGTATTGCTTCAATCAATAGTAAGATCCAGCAGCCTTCACCATCCAGGAACTTCAGAACTTGGAAGGTAATTTTTGTGTGTTACAGGGGTGCACCAGTTCATAGGAGGGCAGTGAGGAAAACCGCTATAATGTAAAATCAGATTTCAGAAGGAAAATAACAGCAGGAACTGACTATACAGTCCTACTTCAAAATCCCTGTGCCCTAGTGTCGACTGCTTTTTCTTCTGATCATAGCTCAGAAAGAACCAAATGGCAGATTAGGGACAGGGTTAGGTAGGATGGATCCTACAATGGTCAGAGTTGGTGATACTTACTTCCTTAGCTCCTCCTTCCTTTCTGATCTCAGGGTTTTCATTCGCTCTTCAAACTTTCCCAAACATTTGCTATTTCCCAGTAGCCCTCGCTGGCTTCTAATGTTTGGTCTGGTACTAAATAGGAATGTTTATATGCTAAGGTTTTTATGGGACACTGTTGAGCCCAGTCCCAGGATCTCTATGTAATTTCCATGAGGGCCAGGGCTGCTACTTGGACCCTTGGATCTAGTTCAGGGAACAGAGCAGCTCTGTGTGGTAATACATTCTTAGTTGTCTGACAACAAACTCTACTAGGGTGTTGGAACTAGCTTTTATTCCCCACACTTAAGTAATGCTTCCAGATAACCTGCAAATCTTCTGGAGCCAAAGCCTCTCATAATGCTATCCGATTTACCTCCCCCACCACACCCAGCACATGAAGTTTACAGCCAGTAGCTTGGTCTTACTCTCTTGGAGTCCTAAGTCTTTCATTCCCCTTACTGCCGAAGCATCTCACTCCCAGGGCAAGCCAGGCAACTTGGCATTGTGGGAGGTGCTGGCTGCTCAGCTCTGTCCCATTAGGCCCTGTTGGCCTCTGTTGCATGTTGACTCAGGGAGCCAGAGAGCGAAGTGGAGGCCATAACTCTCAGCTCTTTGGAGTGTTATTTAGTATTGAGAGCGGGGTTTGCCTCTGAAAAGAGTACAATCAGTTCCATAAAACTGGGGTGTGTTGACTTATATTCTGATAGTTTAGGCTGACTTATTTAAAACCCAGATGCTGATTCCAGAGCCCTGGAATAAGAAAAGTACTTGAGTATTGGGTGGGGAGGGGAAGGGTGGAGTGAAGGTCTTAGGTTCAAGCCAAGACCTGTGAATATAGTTGTGCTGATTATCTGGTGGTGTTAACATGAACTCAAAATCCTGCATTTTTAGATTAATTTTGATTCTAATTGAGGCCTCACTGGATGTGCCTCAGTTTTGTGTGTTTGGAGGCTGGGTGGAGAAAGTATAATATCACGTTGTTTCTCTAAGTCGTCTCCCCTGTTTCTTATCATTCCAGAGTTTTTTTCTATTAGCCAAACTTTTCATAGTCCCTTCTTTCTCCTTTCCTGACAATTACATTATTTACTTCTTACTTGCTGGTTTCCTTATGTTTGGGGCGTAGTTAAGTGATAGGAAGTGGGGGTTGGGGGGGAAATGTGTGTTTCTCCACTGAAAATTAACTCTCCACCCATCCCATCTTGCTAAACAAGGTTTACATTTACAACTAAAAAAGTTCAGATGCAATTTTCAACTATTCTGAAACCAGCAGGGTACACCTGACTTTAATAGTTTTCTTAGCTGAAACAGATGTTCTCCTTCAGTTTAACTTATGAGAAAAGTTTTATCTGATGCATTTTGTGTTGATTTCCCCTTTAGTGGTTTATTTTGTCTTTTTCTGCCCATCTGTCTACTAATAAAATGTGAAATAAAATATACCTGTATTGCTACTTCCCCATGGAATGACCCTCTTTTTTTTTTCCAAAGAAAATTAAAAGGTGGCCTCAATATTTTCATTGTTACCTTACAGATTTTGCCCAGGATGCAGCTGAAAACTTAAAATGAAACAACTCGAAAGGGCTGACCTGCCTTTTATGACATCCTGTCCAATTCATCTAGTTGGAGAATAACCATCCCCAAACTGACAAGCTTTCATAGAAGGTTCTTGGGAACCAGCAGTTAGTGTAATGGCTATGTCGCTGGACTCCCATGTAGTTGACCACGGTTCGCATCCCGGACCTGGTGACTTAAAACTCACGCTGAGCGCATGTGCATGCGTGCCCAAGATCCCGAGAGGAGAATGGAGAAGGGATTGCAGCGTGACCATTCCCCCTGGGGGGTGATTTCTTGCTTTCTGTCTCTATGTCTCTCTCTGGCGAGCGCACGTGCCCTATAGCAAAAACCTCAAAAAAAAAAAAAAAAGGTTCTTAAATAATATTGTGAAACAGCTAGCTAATATGAGGTAGGCCAAAGGATAGAGGGGTGTTATGCTGCTCTCCTTAGGCAAATGTTTTGTTTTCAAGGTCATCTTGTATTCCTAATTTGTAGTCATAGAAATTGGGCAAGAGATGACATTTTTTGATAAGTCTGTTTAGTTTTAGTTGCAGATAACTTTTTTTTCTCTAGCCAGGATCAAAAAGTATGGGTTAAAAGCAGTTCATAATCCAGCTGATGAAAAAGACTGACCCTAGGCTGGTTCTGGCATAATGACCAATTTGTTGAGACTATTAATGCTGCCTACCAATTTGGAGTACAGTGGTGTGACAGTTCCTGTCCCTTGACTGCTGGTCTACACACCAAGGTGAATGAATACTTTGTTGGTACTTTCTGGGACACATATTTAGCCAAAGACCCACATGCCTACCACATCCTATCCTCTCATAGGTGTGATGTTTTTTGTTGGTGAGAAGTAAAGGACAGATATATTATCTGTTCTCAGGCCCAAAACCCTGCTCAGTTCTTAACTTTGCTCTAGATTTTTAAGTCAGTTAATTTTAAGGGAACAATTACCTCACCCTGATATTTCTGTTGACAGCCGTGAGAAAATAAGGGCAAGGCACACCAAGTTAAATTTGATAATCAGGCCTGTCAGGAGATTCAGTTGAGGAGATTGAACTGTCTTTTCAGTCATTCTATGTGGGCCAGGAGAAGGGTCCAACAAAGAAGGGAAGACCAGGTTCAAACCCTTAAAGCCTGCTACAACCAATATATGAGTGAGGGCTACTTCACCCTGCAATGTCAAGGTGCCTCTGCCTTGAGCTACCTCTCAGTCACATCACATAGACACATGCATGCTCTCAGAATTTTATTAGGTGGAGTTCTGGCAAGAGAAAACCCCTGAAACAGCTGCCTACCTCGTTTAGGACAACTGGAATAGAGGAGCCTTGGCTTGGAGATGTGCTCTCACTGAGGTGAAAACCTACATTTGATTTTTTAAGGGGGGCTTACTGGCAGAACATTTCTGAATTAGGGCTCAGTTTTCAAATTGTCAGCCAGAGGAAGGAAAATCTCTGGGAGCAAGACCAGAAGCCCCCAAATGTCTATATAAAGACAAATCAGGTATCCAGTTTTATGTTGGGCAGGGGAATCTCTGCTATTCCCAGACCAAGATTTGGTGGAAGGGGACTATGACAAGTGACAAAAGGTTGTTTCTCAAAAAAAAAAAAAAAAAAAAAAAAAAAAAAAAAAAAATTACACAAGGAAGAAAACTCAAATATGGTATGGTTTACAAGGGAGTATGGTAAAAGTCGTGATTCTTCATTGGTACCTGGCCCCAGTACCCAGACTGCCTTGAACTAGCTTTCCCACCCAGAGACAGCCCCTAGGAGCCCACAAGGCAGGGGGGCTATATGGAGTAGGCTTGAAGGCAGAAGGGGACAGGGGAGGGGGCTTATTTTGCTACTATAAGAAGGGGCTTAACATGGGGAGAGCAGACCTGGCTAACAGCTGCACCCCCACTCCCCAAGACTTCCGTCACATTTACAAATACATACATAAATACATTACATACAACAGCGAGACTAGAAGGCAGGCTCCCCACAGAGGCTCAGCTAACCCAGTTACATGTCTCAGAAACTAGGAAAGAGCACTGGGCTACCAGAAATGTGCTCCATGTGTTTGTTCTCTTGCCTTGGCCCACCATCCCTCCAGGGTTTAGTTTGTCCAGTATGGAGAGTTGCTGTAGGTAGGTTTGGAGGCTTGAGACTTGGGCTGCAGGGAGCTGGGCTGGCTGCGCTGACCCGAGCCACTCTGAGGAGAAGAGAAGGCTGTCAAGGCTGGAGCAGGGAACCTCAGACCCAGCCAGACCCCCTCCATCACTGCACTCACCTGAGCTTCCTGTGGGAGGTGGTGCAGCAGCTGTGAGTGGGGCTGCTGGTGGGCTGGCAAGATGTGCAGGAACGGTGGGGGCGCATAGCCAGGGGCTGCTCCAGGGGCTAGGGGGCCAGTGGAGCCCAAGGCCGAGGGTAGGCTGAAAGGTGGAGGGGTCCCTGCATGAAATCCCTGCTTTTCAAAAGTCTGTAGGGCAAAGAAAACCATATTGAGGGTCAAGTTAGGCTATATATCCCACCCACCTCCTGGCCACCTTTTCCTCCCTCACCTGAGTCTTGTTATAGACAGAACCAGTCATATCAGGTAGGCCAGTGGTACTTGATGACACTGATACGCCTAGGAGGAAAAGCAGGTGCCCACAGCAGTTGGTCCCAGCTCCAGATTCCCCCACCTCCAGGGGAATTCTGGGGTAGCCCTGCCTGAGAGGGGAGAGGCAGGAGACCACTCCTCTAGGCCTCAGTCCTGGAAAGGAAGGGTTGAACACTACCTTTGCCAGGCCCAGAACCTGAAGACTTGTTTGCTGCCTGTGATGATCCGCCATAGCCACCCTTGGAGTAGTCTCCTGCCGCCGTCCCCTGGGTCAGGTCATCATAACCTAGATGGCAGAGCATGAAAGGCATGTGTGAACCAGGCAATCCTGTCCTACCATGGGCATCTGTTAGGGTTGCCATCTCACCTGTGCCATAACTGTGCTGGCCATAACCACCGGCCTGCTGGAAAGGGGTGGTGGGAGTGCTGAGGTTCACCCCATGCTGCTTGGCTGAGGCTGGAGGGACCTGGGGAGACAAGTAGGTAAGTTCCTAATGTAGGAATAGGGAAGGTGTAACGGGTTGGGGCAGGTTAGGTAGGCCCTGACTAGCGTAGGCAGAAGGCAGCATGCCCACAACCACAGGGGACCTGCATTTTTCACTAGTGTGACCCACGCTGGATCTAAAAACTTGGAGGAAGTAACTTCAGGCCAAGACTGACTCATTCCTAATGGTTGGATGAGCCCCTCAAAAGCTGGAGGTCAGATCGCAAGTTTCAACCTTGTAGCAAACCATGGCCAGAGAAAATCATGCCCCCATGAATACTCACAAACATGGTGGGCCCATACTGGAAGGCACTGGGCATGCCTGTGTAGTAGGGGAGGCCGGTGTAACTGTAGCCAGGTGGCAGCGCAGGATTCAGAAAGGGCTGCTGGGCTGTGTGGTGGGTCTGTGATTGGCTTTGCTGTGGCTGAGCAAGTGTGGTGGAGGGTGCAGGGGATGCAGAGTCACCTCGGCCAAACTTCGTGACATCACCTAGGAGAAGAGGAGCACTAACTCCGGTCGCAGCCCCTTATCCAACCAGGGAGAGAGCCAGATTGGTCCCTGCAAACAGGAATAGGCCTGGCTGCCAGTTCAAATAGGGATATCCCATAGTCCTCACTAAGCCCTTCCGCTTTCCAGATCCTGGCATAGCTGCAGGCCAGTCCCACAGCCTTCCCTCTCCTGGTCCACTGAACCCACTCACCTGAATATGGATTGTTAGGTAGATTCCCGTCTCGGCTGGCAAGGGCTGTGGGAGCAGCAAAGGGAATTCCATAGTAATCCTGGAAGAGAGTGGAAAGGTTCGGTCAGCAAGTAACATAGGCCCATGAATTCGAAGTGATGCCACACTCCAGACATAGGCCATGCAGCTCAAAGGCAGCCTTCACAGATAACTCAAGTAAGCGGTGCCCGGGGTGGGGGGGGAGGGGCAGTGTTTGATGTGGCATTACTGCTTAAC